GGCTAAAATTATGCTAATTTTTGGCCGGAATTATGATATACAAATATAAGAAATTTTTTATATAGTCACATCTCTTTATAATTACCAAATATGGACTGTCCCAAATGTGTGACTATAAAGAGAGTTGACTGTAGTGCAGTTTCAATATGTAAGAAATTGGGAGTATAATAATTACACAACTAATGAAATCAATGCACAATGGACTAAAAACAGCTACAATAGATCCCTAAAACAGTTTATCGAGAAATATATTAGGAATAAATGCTCTCCTTCAGAAGAAGCTAATGAAAACTAGAATCTATCGATTAGACTGGAGAAGATGAAAATCAAGATGGAGAAGATTAAAACCAAGAAGAAGTTGATGAAAATCAAGAAGTTGACAAAAATCAGGAAAACGAAGAAGAGGATCAAAATAAAAATAAAAAAGGTGTTAGTGTTATTTCCTCTGAATATGGTAGTATCAGCAGTGAATAGTGGGTAGTCAAATTATATAAATAACAATTTTAGCAATATCGGTATTTCAATAAAACTGATTTTTTTAATATATTAAATATTTTAAATATTTTAAATAAATCGTAAATTTTTGTAAATTTTTAAATAAAAATGTATGGCAATTAGAAGATTTCTTATTGTTATAAATTTATCAAAAAGTTATCAATCGGTATACTGATATGTCAAATAGTAAATATTTTATTAATAATTATTAATACCTGATTGTACCATATAGCGCTTAGCACTGCATACAGTACCTCCTTGTAATAGTATCCCTTCCTCCTATAGTATCCTCCAGGTACTATTCAATCTAAGCAGACTTTTTTGAATAGTACTGGAATACTATACTGTACGTAGCGTTATACGATACTCTATTAAATATCCTGATTGGTACCCAAGTATTTTCCTTTTGCACCATCTTTTGGCAGCAATCAGGTTTACCAATTGATGAAAATTTTAAAAAAATAAGGACTAATTGGATGGAATTTAGTCACCTGATTAGTTTTCGATTTGACATTATTTGACTAATAACAAAATTATCATATTATAAAATCATTACATTTTTGATAATCATATTTTTGATAATCATGTTTTTGATAATCATATTTTGATAATCTATAAATATAAATAAATTTGTTAATTTGAAATGCTATAATTAATTTGGGATGTCGTAATTAATTTTGGATGTCATAATTAATTTAGGATGTTAATTTGGGATGTTGTAATTAATTTAGGATGTTATAATAATTTAAAATGCTATAATTAATTTAAAATAATATAATTAATTTGAAATATTACAATAATTTAGGACTTATACATTTAAAATATCTTAATTAATTTATTTAAAATTTGAATTAAAATTATAAAATTACAATAATTATATTAAGAAATTAGATTTTTAAAATTAAAATATAAAAGAATATTATAATTATTTTGAAATACCATAATTATTTTGGAATATTAGATTATTTTAAAATGTTATATAATTAATTTGGAATGTCATAATTAATTTGGGATGTTATAATTAATTTGGGATGTCATAATTAATTTGGGATGCCATAATAATTTGGGATTTGTACATTTGGGATGTCATAATTAATTTGGGATTTGGGATTTATTTAATATATTTTTGGCAATATGTATATTCTATATGCACAAATACATGATCACTTTACCAATATGATTAAACTTATTGTAATGATTAATTATAAGTCACTTATATATTAAATTTTACAGAGAAATTACTATATATTAATTAAAGCTACATCTGCATAATAACGTAATAACACAGTTATTGAATATATATGTTATGCCTCATGCTTCAGATTAAAACTACAAATAGGATGTGATGAATTATATATATACATATGATGATCTACATAGTAAAATTACCATATATGTAATACATGTGATCTGGTGTTGATCTCATGCAGCGTGAGTTTTAATCTGAGGTAAGAATCAATCTGAGTCACAACATACAGTATGTAGATTAATTATAAGTCACTCATTGTAATGATTAATTATAATTACTTAGAGACTTTGCAATAAAAAGGGTCAGAAAAAATTAAATAAGTCCAGATTTGTTTTTTTTAGCAGTTCATTTTTTTCTACTACTTATTGTAATAATTAATTATAAGCCAAAGAAAAAAAGCCATTAACGTAACCTAGACTCCTAAACTCCTGTAGGATATATGTATATTCTGCTCTTACTGTATGTTAAGAGTAATGGAAGAGAGAAAATTTTATAGTAAACTGTGTGTTGCTAGAAGCCTTAAATCTTCTGTCGGTAAAAGATGTTTAAATGAATTTGTTCCATCTGGCTGGGACAAACTTTCTTATAATTTAGCAACAATACTAGTGAAAGATAAAGTAGTTGTTGCAGTAAACTTGAGAGTCTTATCCAACAGGTGTGAAATTTCCATTGCTAAGGATGGTGTTTGGCTTGAAGAAGATCATAAATATGTTAACAAAATTAAAGAAACCCTGGCAAATATATCTAAAGATGCTCCCATGACATTCAAACAGACACATAGCAGAGAGGATATGATAGATTTATCTTCAACTATATTGAATTACTGTTCTAAAATAATCAGGAATAGATCAGATAAACTTAGGAAAAGTATAACCGAGAATAAAGATGAAAATTATATTAAGTCTTTTTTAGAGTTTGTTAAGACTAGAATCAATGTTGATGACATATACAATGATGAGAAAATAGTTTCTATATCCACTGTTTGTTGCGAGTATTATTACATAGCAAAAAAAGATCCTGCAACCCCGAAAAGTTTTCTAAAACGCATCAGAAAGGTGGGATCATGCGTTGAATCTTTGTTTGGTATCACAAATTTTGTATGTAAAACAAAATACACACTTATTTTCTCATATGGATTTGCAATTATTGGATCCTGTTGTGATGATTCAACCCATTTTACCATGGAATGATATTGTCAAAGAATTTGTTGATCAAGTAGAATATGGATATTTAAAGGAAGCATGTTTGAAAGATTCTATGATAAAGAGAAATCTAAAACATATATATGGTGGCATAAATGTGGAACTGAATTGTGAAAGTTCTAATGAAATATATTTACACCCGATATTGAACATATTGACCAGCGTAATGAATCATGAAGAGAAAAGGATTTTTATAGCAGTTTCAAAGAGAACTTGTTTTTTATGTGATTTGTATATCAGATTCGTACGAGACAAAGGATATAATATTATCTTTTCTGGATCACAAAAGTTTTATAAGAAGTTATATAATCGATGGAAACTTCCAGATAGGTACAAGGAAGAATTCATGTCATTTGCTCAACTGGAACTCGATCAGATCATAGGTAATGAAATAAAATACGAATTAATATATGATTCATCTGATGATGAGGCATTAAGTATGGAGTATGATGAAAAAGAATTCGAAAGGTTTAAGAATATGCCATTTATTCGACTTTAAGTATGTAGCAGTTGCATTTTGTCGATTTCCTTTTTCTTTCTGTTCCTTTCCAATATATTTGTAATGTTTTTGCATAACGTAAATGTTCTGAATTTACCTGTTACAAGAAAGAGATTATTAGTTATTGTGTGCAAAAATTTTATTAGTAATAAAAGAAGGTACATAGCCAACAAAATAATTATCAAATTTACTACTAATCTATCTCTATAGTACTGTAACTATATTTAGGATCACTATACTCGTAATAAAATCTTGTATCCTCCCAACCTTCTTCACAGTAAGTTCACGTCAATTCACAGAATTCTCCTTTTCGTTAAGTGAATCTAAAATACACAATTTTTAAGTTCATATTAATGATATGGCTGATTTTAGGGTAGTTTGATATAATCCATATAGTAGAAGATATGATCTATATGATGGGAAGAAAAATGACTAAATTAGAATCCCAGATAATTATATATTATTGCTCAGATAAAAATTAAATCGGATTTAATACTTGATATAAAATAGGGTAAATTTTGAAGTAAAAAAGGATTTTTAGGGTAAATTTTTGTAATTTTCAAAGTGGTATATTATAAATTTATATATAATAATTTGATAAAATGAAAGAAACACTTTCTAATGATAGTACTTAAATTATATTTTTGTTCCTAAATTAAAAAGAAAAAAACAAATAAAAAACCAGTAAAATCAGTAAATTTTTAAATTTTCTCATGTAGTAGTATATAAAAATGGGTACAAAATTTAAAAATTTTTGGGTAAATTACTTCAAATTTAATAATAAATAATTAAAGCCGATTTAGTATTTACAAAATATTTTTCTATATTTATCAAAAGCAGGATGAAAGAGGCATGACTGCAGAATTGTAACGGACGGGAATGTCTTTCGACCGAGTATAAAAATATAGACGAACTGCTTACATGGCGTTGCCAATTTAACCATCAATGCCAAAATACACTTTACTCACATTAAATGGTCGTTATCAAACAATTGAGAAGAGTTTTATAGTATATATATATATATATTTGCAGAATGCCTCAAATTTGTCGTCGCCGAAGAAAGTAAAGAAGGTTTATTGAAGACAAGGGTCAAAATTTCTTGTAATTTCGCAACAATACTAGTGAGAGATAAAGAAGTTGTTGAATTAAACGTGAGTGAAAAATCCGGCCGGTATATAGTTTCCATTGCTAAGAACAAGAAGTGGACTGATAAAGATCGTAAATATGTCAACTAAATTAAAGAAACCCTGACGAATATATCTAAAGATGTCCCATGACATTCAAACAGGCACATCGCAGAAAGGATGTGAAAGATCTATCCTCGGCTGTAATGAATAAAGATCAAGAATATTATGAAGATAGATTAATTTGTAATAGAGCAAATATTTTATATTATTATAAATATGGAGAAGCTCTTGAAAAGAAAAGGAGTAAGAAAGTTATAAGAAGCTCGGGCGTAGATTGGGTAAAGATCCACTATTGGTCCCGATCACTGAGCTATCCGTAACTTGGTGAAAGTGAACCGATGTTCCACTGACTGATTTAGTTTCCTTTTCCTTCTTCCAATTTCGAGCATCAGTATAATTCAGGACCTAAATAAATTTTGGTATTAGTAATATTCTTGATCATTTTAAAATCCATTATCCGATTTCACATCCCACAAGATCGACTCGAAGTCTCAAACGTAAGAAATTCTCAAAGATATTGTCTTATGCTCAGTGGGGCAAGTGCCAAGTCGACTCAAAGTCTCAAACGTAACTCTCAAAGATGTTGTCTTGCGCCCAACACTGCTTCGGAGCTTGTTTCAAAGACTTGATTGACGCATGACTTGAAGTCCTCATGCCAACGTCACCAAAAACTTATCCAAAAAAAATAATAAACTTGCCTGTCTGTAAAGTTCAAGCAACTTATTCGCTCGTTCCTGCCTTGGACCTTTTTGAGTATTGGAAATGGCCAATTCTCAGGCTCGCGATTGAAAAACTCGTGCACCTTATTAATGGACATTGTTGATAAAAAATTATGATATAATCGACTAAGCCACTTGATCGTGTACTAATTATGTAATCCCTTTTTCTCGATTAAAGAAAATGCCAAAAAACAAGGGAAAAAACAGAGTACTATGAACTATTCACACTTCATAATATATTAACTGACCTCTTTTGACATTTTATTTGATTAAAATATAATTAAACACAAGGAAAACAAACCAATAAAAAAGGTAGCATCCAGTTGTGAAAGAAATCACGTATTTAATCAGTATTTAAATCTAACCTTTCATCCTTTCATCCTTTATAATACAGGAACATCACCAGAAACTCATCAAATGTGTCGAGAGATATGCTGAAGCTCGACAAAAAGTTCTATCTATTCCGGGCATCTCAGTCCTCGAAGATATCCAATATGCGATGGCTCTTATCCACGAGGAATATAAGGCCAATACCTGGCCAGATAAATTCAAGAATAAATATAATTTATCACTTGCAGAATCTCCATTAAAGTAAGGTCAATCGTCTTTTTGTTTTGTCTATTTACTTTTACTTTAATTTTGCATATTTACTAGGGAAGCTTTAGTTGCGGCCAGAATTCTGGAAGAATATTCAGACTTAACAACAGTTTTACATCGAGATCTTAATTACGATTGGCACTGGGCCGTTAATGAAACTGGAGAAATGCTTGATAAGACTATAGGATATGATTCATCATATGATGATCATCTTGAAGAAAGCGAAGGTTTGTAACGCCGTGCCTCCACAACATGAATATAATACATAAGGATGTACAAATACTATTAACCTTATTAGTTTAGTTTAGAATAAATAAAATATTAACTGCAATTTGTGTAATTCAATATACGAATAAAGTCAAAAGAAGTGAATCTAAGAAGAGCTCAACTGAAGCTACAGCATATAATAACTGGGTATGAGATTACTAGATATAACAAAATAATTGCAAAAAACTGATTTTTGAATTTTTACTTTTTTTTATTAGTATTAAAGTCAAATTATAAGTTGTTTTATAAGGCAATCTTTTATAGGTAGGTTGCAATTATGTTTTTAAAATGTTTGTGTTACAAGGATAATTATAATTTTGGATAAAAAAAAGTGCTTTTTCTGATTATTTAGTCCAAATTTTTGTATTTTCATGTATTCCATAATTAATAAAATCCTTTTTTATATTAGTTAATAAAATGCTTAACCTTTTTTTTTGTTCTTTTTTTATTACAATAAGTATGAATTAATAAAATCCAGATTCCCACATAAATACTGATAATTGATGTCTAAAATAATATTTTATAATTATTTATCACTGTTACCATTATATAATAGTTTCTACAGTTTACGAAAATAAAAACCCATTATTATTATATTACACCTGAATGTGATTAAAGTAAAAGAGTTAAGGAACTGTTATAGTAAATGAACTCAATAAACTATTAGGTCTATCATATTGATTTTAAAATATTAACACTTACGCTTATTATTTTTATTATTTATGTTGTTAATTCCTTTTTAAATGTTCTTCTGCCTTTCATTCGATTAAGGACTTGGGGTTGTTATTTTGAGTTGAATGCAATGGAGATATCTCCTTTAATGTTTTCAACATTAATTCACGCGTAGAATTTGTTAATGTATCTATTTGGTCTATACTAATATTTGATACATCAATCGGCGGTAACACTACAAAAAGAAATAAATTAAGTTAAACCAATTTTTTTTCTTGTAAATCTTTTTGATAATTAATTAAATACCTTTGATGTTAATTTCACCACCACGAAATATTTTACGTTTTGAATTATAATTATCGCTATAATTAGCAACCACAATAGGTACAATCGGAATTTTTGCTTGTACAGCCATATGAAAAGCTCCTTTTTTAAATAATAATAAATCTGCTTCTTGTAATCTTGCTCTTGTACCTTCGGGAAATATAAATACACTTGTGTTTTGTTTCTTTATTTCTTCTGCAGCATTTGTTAACGCTTGTACTGCACTACCATGATTTTTTCGATCAAGAAATACCGCATGACCAAGTGACACTAATTAAAATTAACTGCGGCATAAGTCACCATGCAAATCCCATGATATGTATCACCAGATCAAAAAAAGGCTTTCACTTACTGAACATTCCAAGAAGAGGAATAAATCTCAAAGAAGCTTTACCAACAACCACACAATGTTTAGGAAATATCCTTCCCAACACTAGTAGATCAACAGCAGCTTGATGGTTACATATGAAGATGGCAGGTCGTGTATTTAAATATTCTTCACCTTGTACTTTAAAAGAAATGCCTACAGCAGTACTAGCAAAATATCCGTAAGTCCTTGCTGTAACAAAATTAATTAACCCTCTTTTGCCTATTATACTAAATATAATCGCTATTAAACTTCCATAAGCTGAAAAAATTAATAAGAATATTATACTAATAAAAGCGCGTACTCCAAATTGTATTGTATTATTAACTCGACTTCCCGTATACAGCGCTGCTATTATTATCGCCGTTGCGAGCGGTCTTACTGGTACTACATCGAGCTTCATCTTTATTTCTTCAAATGAAATCATAATTATTTTAGAGTTTAAGATAGTTGTTCTTGTCAAGTTATTGAATATTCTAATTTGCAAAAGAGAGCAAAGGTAAAAACGAGTGTGCAATACAATAAATAATACAGCTAAAATAGAAGTTTATAATTGTATAAATTTCCTCAAAAATAAATGCATGTAGCGTTTATGTCATCAAACGGCCTCGTGAAAATTATTAAATTATTCTAATAAGAAATATAGAAGTGCAAATATGTTTATCAGGCTGAAAATATCCAAATTCAGCATTAGCACTCCCGATTTTAGACTTGAAGACCAATATATCGTAGTGCGGGATTCGGACGAAGTACAGCATAATTTTATAATTAGATTTTTATTAAAACAAAAAAACCGGGAGCATAATTAATTTGAATGGACATGGATATATTCAAAACTTTTTTTTGCGGCTAAATATTGTAAACTTAATTAAAGAACGAATAAAATAACAGAAATACAAGTTTTTTTTACAATATGTCTATATAAGTCTATCTAAGTTTGAGACACTACTACATAATAATACCTCTTTAACTATATTTTGGTATATAAAGAGCTTTATATATACAGTTTTGTAAAAATAAATATAAATATACAATTACAATTAATAATTATTACTATAGTTATTATTGACTATATAAAAAGTTAAAGGTAAATTATAACACAGCAAATGATACAATTTAATTATTATAACTTATTACAAATCATTTCATTGTGAAAATTAGTAACTATGGACTTAATACAAGTTTGTATTGATAAGAAAAGTACTATTTATTTTGGGAATAATAGGGTTTTTTTCCCGAAGTATCATTCATGAGCATGTCACTCATTAAATTTAACATGTGATTAACTATTAATTATTTTAAAAATTTCCGGCTATCTAAATGAGACCGGGAAATAAGTATAAATTCAGCTAATCACTCGCAAATTTTCAAAAATTAGATTACCGGTCATTTATAAATTCGGCTAAATTACTCGCAATTTTCAAAACTATTGTGTGCGACAGGGGATTATTCAGTTTTATTATATTTTTATTACATAAATTATATATAAAAGAAAATTTTGGCTATTCCAAATACAAAATCCTTAATAAAATATCTTAAATCGATTCGGTATGGAATAACACAACTATGACGTGATTCTATAGTAACCAGTTACACAAACGGGATCAAATAACGGGATCATCAAAATAACGCGATATTATGACGACGATCTTTATCTTTCATTAAAACCACGCACCATAATTATACAAAAATATGAAATAATAATAATTAAATTAAATCTATCTTTTCTATCTTATTTCTTTTAATTGAAAACGGTATTGGAAAAGAATGCATTATAAGGAAAGTTCACAAACACGTTTTTCCTATTATAAACGTGCTGGGATAACGTGTTATTTATTACGTACAAGTTCTTTTCCTAGAATATTTCGTTATATAGTTCTCCTCTCACTTTCACTTTTCTTTTTTGCCATATTTTACTTAAATATCATAACGAATCACCAATACTCTCCCAAGCAACATAATAACATAAACAGTGAAAATGATAATATACCACACACTTACTTTGAAACTTTAAACACAGGTGTCTTTAAAGGTCATACTTACATAGAATTATTACATTTAGAATCGGCCTGGGTTTCAACATTAGATTCTAAAGTGCCAGTAACAGTAATAATTTTTCACGCTAATAATCAAAATAATCAAAATGATGAAGATGATGAAGATGATGATAGAAATATTGATAAACAATTGGATGCGGTCATTTCTCAAACAGTTAAACCCGAATCAATTTGGATAATAACATTAGCAGAACAAGTAGATAATATAAATAAATTATTACTGGAAAAGAAGTTAATTAATTATGTTCAAGTATATATTAAAGAAATTGATAATTTAGGTCCATTTGCATATTTACAAATAGCACAAAAAGTTCAAACAAAATATATATTGTTGCTGAATTCCAGAGTGATTTTAGGAAATCGATATTTACAAAATATGTTTTATATATCAAATACAAAAGAATATAACAATACATTATTGGGTACTATGGGAGCAAATCTTAATAATATACCAAGTGAGGTTGATTATGAAGTTTCATTGACTTGTTATGATGATCATATATCATCATTTTTTACATATTCTAATGATGGTATGATGAAATATTCAAGAACATCAAAACGGGTTGATATGTTAACAAATATATGGTTTTTACAAAAACAATGGTTATCAACTTTATTTAAAGAGAATAATAAAGATGCCATTTATCTTCCATTAGAATTTTTGATTAGTTTTGCTCTTAGGTATCGTTCTAATATACCTTCCATTATACTTCCTACATTTAATCAAGAATCACGGGGTGATATAAGTACAATATCAATTCAAACCGTTACTTGCAATAACTTAAGTCGAGAGTTTTCAAATAATGCTGCTTGGGCACATTATATTGAACGTGGATACCCATTAATTGTAAAAGAATCTTCTAGTAAGAATAAGATTATGTTTATTTTCGATGGAATTTATCAAGAAAAATATTTTAGATCACTATATTGTAAACTATCATTGACAAGTAATAATTCGGTCAATGTTATTACAACAGGAAAAGATCGTGGATTAGATATATCAAGGTTAAGGAATATTATTAAAAACAAGAAATCATCATGTGGTCATATAAATGTTTATGATCTTGACGTTCGAACCAATTCATTCGAGAATGATAATACTAATATTAGAAATCAAGTGCATAAAGATGTTAAACATATGATAGAATTTTTAAAACCTGAAATATTAATTTATGCTAAAATTACAAAAGATTTCATCAATCAAGGAATTTCATCGGCGATTGAAGAATTTAATATAGAGAATACTAATACTATTACGGTGATTAAAATACCATTAGAAGAAATTGAATACGTAACAGGATTGATAATTGATTTGCCATTTTATTCATTAAAAAATTGGAATAAACCAAAAATTCAATTGCAAATAATAACACAGAACAGACCAGATTCATTATCACGATTAATTCATTCATTAAACGCGTCATATTACTTTGGTGATGATAATATTACATTAACAATAAATATGGACAGAGGAGCTGATCCAGTTACAATAGAATTTTGCTCGAAATTTCTATGGAATCATGGCTCAAAAAATGTTCGTCATAGAGTAATCCAAGGAGGTTTACTACCTGCGGTAGTAGAATCATATTATCCAAATGATTATAATGATTATGGTATATTATTAGAAGATGATGTTGAGGTATCTCCATTTTATTATCTTTGGGTTAAGTATACTATTTTAAAATATCGGTATGGTCCTGCTAAATATCAAAGATTATTTGGTATAAGTTTATACGGACAAAGACAGATGGAGTTGCATATGGTTGGTCGTAGACCATACGATCCTGAATCTATATTTCATGGAACAAAATTTCCTAGTCGCTCCCCTTATTTGTCTCAAGTACCATGTAGTTGGGGTGCGGTATACTTTCCTGAGATCTGGAAAGAATTTCATGAATATCTTATTAGAAGATTAGACGATGAATCAAATTATCATTCACAAGAAATCATCGTACCAAATAGTAGATCATCATTTAAATGGAAAAAATCCTGGAAAAAATATTTTATTGAATTAATTTATTTAAGAGGTTATGTTATGTTATATCCTAATTATAAAAACTTCACTAGTTTTTCTACCAATCATGCAGAAATTGGCATACATATTCACCTTATAAAAGACAAACCTGAACCCGTTACTATATTTGGTGTACCTTTAATGAAAGATTTTACCTTATATGATGAATTGCCAAATAATCATTTAACCGATTTCACTGAATTACCTGTAACTAATCTTTGGGGTAATTTAACTACTTTTAATGATTTAATTAATCGTGGAATTAACCTTCATAACAATATTTCTCAATGTCCTCCTCATTACAAAGAAGAAAATGATCAACTTAATTTTAGTACACAAGATATTTTTTGTGTTGATGAAGAAAAGAAAAGAAATACTACTACTCAGGATTATATAAATTTTGAAAAACAGCATCGTGAATTTTTAACGGAATCGGATCAACGTAAATTAGAAGCCTCGACGACAAGCGTAATATAGAATATAATAATATTTTAATGAACCCCCCCATATTGTAAAATTATTGTTCGGGAGATTTCATTTGTGTTGCATCTGATTTCCCTTCTTGTTGCTGCTTATCTCCTTCATTTTCATCTGATTCATAAGGTACATTCGGATCAGCAGATTTAAGCGCGTATTTTTGTAGCCACGCATCTTCGGACCATACTATAAACAATATTTTTTGTATAAACAAAATCTTCAAAATATCGAAATACCATTAAAGACTAATTACAATATTTTACCTGCTCTCATACTTCCATCTTTAATTCGAATTGGTCTCGCTAAATTAACTTTTATTACTTTACCATATAGTTCTGATAAATTCATATTATCTATTGAGGCTTGTGCGTCACTTGCTTCTTCAAATTCCACAAAGCCAAATCCGCGATGTTGATTATCTAACAAATGATTTAAAATGCATAAAAACGTATAAATTATTTACAAGGAAAGAAGGCTAAGCATAGAATGTTACATACGAGATGCTGGATCTGGTGGTATTTGAATCTCTACTATGTCACCGAACGGAATAAATGCTGCATGTAAGATTTGCTCATTTACTTGATCGTCTAGTCCACCTATAGAAATATTAAGGGTTAGAAGGTAGTGGTAAAATGTAAAAGAAAAAAAAATAATACATAATAATGCTCATAGTACCAACATAGATCGTAGTTCTATTATTGTTGTCTTTCATACCAGAAGTCATCTTTTTCTTTGCGTCGATCACAACATTGATGATCGATCATCAAATAGTTACATAGTTGCACAAATTTACGAAAAAAAAATCGTATGATGTTCCCAATTGTTTCAGGTAAATTTACAAAGAACAAATCGCATCAAATGAAACGTAAATTTTTAGATATTATCTCGATTTAGAACAATGTTTCCTTATATTACTGCGTCTAAATTAACTTAAAATGAAACAACTAGTACCCCTAAAAATCTAAATTTTGCTATCAGGTAACATGAATATAAACAAACATAAGGAGTTTGTTTTTATATTTATTTTTTTGGATAACTGTCCATTTATATACTAGCACACTAAATTTTTTTATTTCTTTTTAATACTCTATCATTTTGATATTTTACAACCACCTTTTTATTCTAATAAAGTCTCTCTCGGCTGGCCGAGTTTATTATTATCGTGAACATTTCTGTGTATTCTGAGTGTTTTTTGGTGTATACTTGTTTAAAATATAACGCGAAAATAATAAAAAACCACAATAATTTTAAAACCGAGAATAAATAAATCATGAGTAAATCTACAAATCCTTCGCTTGGATATAACCCATATTTCGACCCGAACTTGTCTAATGGTGAAAATAATCGATATACAAGTGAATACGAAGGAACAAGTGAATACGTTGATAGTTCAGATTTTAGAAATAGTTATTCTACAAGTGTCGGTACACATGATAGTATAGTATATTCTGAAGATGCTGTTATTCAAAGACAACCCTCAAAAAAACTTTTAGTAAATAATCCTGGTAATGTAGGACGCGGTGATTCATTAAGAAAAATAGCTAGAGGAGATTCTGTAAAGAAGATACCTAATCTTGATAAATTTGATCCTTATCCCTCAAATGGTACAGCTGTAACTGTTAAAAAACCAGTTACAAAATTTGAAAAACTTCAAGCATGGATGATTAATGAAGGTATATCTAAAGAAGGATAGAAAGGCATTATACATATCGAGGAAGTAATGTTTTCTAATTATTATTTATCAATTCCAGGCGGTCGTGCCATATTTTTTGGAGTATGGATAGCACTTCACGGTTTGGTTTTTGCTTTAGCTTTTCTCAATTACTTTTATAGCGATAATTTGACGGGAGCAAGAGCCGCCTTTGGCATAACATATTCAATTGCAAGATCAGCCGCATTAGTTCTTCATCTTGATGCTGCCATGATTTTATTTCCTGTTTGTAGGAATTTAATTTCCATTATTCGCGCAACACCTCTTAATAATATCGTACCTTTCGATGAAAATATCGAATTTCATAAAGCTATTGGCTGGTCTTTACTTTTTTTCTCTGTACTTCATACTGTTGCTCATTGGGTTAATTTTGCAAAACTAGCCATTACTACTCCTTCGCCAATATTAGGATGGCTTGAACTTAATTTCGAAACGGGACCTGGTGCAACGGGCTATGTAATGCTTATATCGTTGGTTATTATGGTTGCTACTGCAAGAGAAAGTGCAAGACGAAGTCATTTTAATAGATTTTGGTATTTTCATCATCTTTTTGTTCCATTTTTTGGAGCTTGGGCCTTTCATGGAGCGTTTTGTATGATTAAGCCTGATAGAGAACCAAAATGTGATAGTATTGCTAATTTCTGGAAATATTGGATAGCTTCAGGAGTAATTTATATTAGTGAACGTATTCTTCGCGAAATTCGTGCACGAAAAAGATCTTATGTTTCAAAAGTTGTCATGCATCCTTCACGTGTTGTTGAAATACAAATTAAAAAACCTTCCATGTCAACTAAAGCTGGACAATATATCTTTTTATCCTGCCCCGAAGTATCACTTTGGGAATGGCATCCTTTTACTTTAACATCTGCACCGGAAGAGGATTATATATCAGTACATATCCGTGTTGTTGGTGATTTTACCAAAGCTTTATCCATAAAATTAGGATGCAATTATGATGAGGAATTAAGAATTCGTAAAGAACATAGAGATCGTATAAAAAGTCAATATGATGGAATTGATATTTCAACAAATAACCCAGAACTTCAAAAAATTTTACCTAGGATTATGGTTGATGGTCCATTTGGAAGTGCTTCTGAAGATGTGTTTAAATTTGAAGTTGCTATGCTTGTTGGTGCTGGCATTGGTGTTACTCCATTCGCTAGTATTCTTAAAAGCATTTGGTATCGCGTTAATTACCCCACAAAATCGACCAAATTATCTAAAGTATACTTTTTCTGGGTTTGCCGTGATTATGATGTAAGATTTTACTTAAGCTTTTTTTTTACTTTATATATTTTCCTAATACTTTTCTTTCAATGAAATTTAGTCTTTCGAATGGTTTCAATCACTATTGTCAGCTATTGAAGAGCAAGACATTGAACAATTCATTGAAACACACATTTATCTTACGGGTCGATTACGTCATTCGGAGGTTGGAAATATTCTCGTGAATGATGATGGTAATGTTAAAGATACAATCACAGGCCTTCGCGCACCAACACATTTTGGCCGTCCTAATTGGGATAAGATCTTCTCGAATATGAGAGATCAATATCAAGCAACGGATATTGGTGTTTTCTTCTGTGGACCAAAACCACTTGGTAAAACCTTACATACGAAATGTAACCTTTGGAGTCAAGGTTTTGAGGATGGAACTAGATTTTTTTATGGAAAAGGTAAGAGGCAATTTAATATTTTTTATTAAATATGATTTAATAATTAATTCAATTTTCTTTCTTTTTAGAAAATTTTTGATCAATCTTAAGATTGTTAAATATACACTTAATAATCCATTTATAGATAGAAAAATCACATTACAATATAGAACGACAGATTATTTATTCTTTATTAGTGATGCATGTATACCAGTTAGTTTTTTTGTTATAATTTTAGTTGTTTAATATTTTAGAGAATGTTTTTAATGAAAAACTATACTTAATTTACTCATTCATATAATGGATTTATTAGATTTATTATCAATTTACACGTTTGGAATCTATCGATCTTTTATATCCAAATATCCTTGTGTAATTGCTAAGTAGTACTTATACTAAATGTTTATTTTTGCTTAGCTTTGAATCAAGTAATAAAAATGAAACATGTCAAACATGTACAGATTCTCAGTTATAATGTAACCTATAAAGTAATAACTTAATAAAAACGAAAACCTCGTTTTCATGTAAGATATATAAAAATACAAAATTCGAGATAATTATGTAGACAATGTCACACAAAATTGAAATTGAAATTTTATCATTATTTACAAATTTAATAAAAAATCGACTTTTCGATTTTCATTCAGTCTTATAGTCGTGGATGGCAGAACGAAGAGATTCTTCAAGATCATTACCCCACGTCCAAGTTCCTCCTTTCTCTTGATTTGATATTTGTCTCTTAATAGCAGGTGCTCTCTTTTCCAGTAACCGTTTCTTTGCATTATATTCCTGACTTTTAATATAATCATCCGCAGAACTTGGAATGGCGGACATCATTTGTCGTACAATATAGCGAACAATACTGAAAATATGTTCAGTACAAAATATGAGTGCCATCATAACAATTAACGAAGCAGATGAAAATGCCTTTGAGGTTGGATGGTATAGATAAAGTAAAGAAGGGTTTGTTATTGCTGATAACCAAGTAAGTAGCTCCTACAGGTACAACAATTTATTGTTAGTAAAAGTTTATTATAAAACGAAGAAAAAAGAATTATTATGTAATCTACCAAGTTTTCCAACCATGGACCAATGCTATCAGCACGATGTGGTATTGGTCGTCGAGTATGTACACATAACTTGATGGCATCAGAACGTAATTCTACCAAATTATTGATAAGTGCCGCTATTGGTGTTAATGGCCATATTACAGAGAATAAGCTTACATAACCGAACTATAATATAAAAATTTCAAATTAAAACGAATATTTACATAAAATTTTATTGTTTGAAACTTAATACGATAAAATTAATACCTGAGTGATAATTTCAGCATAATCCTCAAATATATCATACACAGGTAACTTAGCTTCTTTTCTAATTCTCTTCAAAAATGCAGACTCGTCTTCGTTTCTTGCATCATCTTTGGTGGTAGTCCGTTGTATTTTCTTAACCCCAACTGCCCCAGCTCGAAGTAAATAGGGTAATGCAATTTCCATGAAAAGGCTCATAATTTGACCAGTCAAAACAAAATATTTCAATTCATTCATCAGTCTTTCTGGCCCAACAGGTTCAATTGTGACTGATAACCCAAATATTTCAAAAAAACTTCCAAAGTATTGTCCAATCTCGTAATTGAAAGGGATATAAATCCAGCCAATAAAGAAAATTGAAAGATTTCCTATAAGAAAATTGGATATGAAGATCTTTTGAGAGAGATTAAATTCATAATAGGATTCAGTCTCATAGTTTTCATATTCGTTAAGACGCCGTGCAATCTTTGTGTAAAACATGTTTAACGCAGGAACTAAGGCACAATAAGCTACAGTCGGTAGATACATCTGTAATAAATTTTTCGATATAAAATTTATTAGCATCACAATAAAATGGCAAACAAAATTGAACACATACCAACTCTTCTCTAAATGGCCCATCATAATAGTCAGACATTATAACATTAAGTAAGATATAGAAAAGCAATGTCACAGATAATGTTAAACTAAACATAATAATTATTGGAGCTGCGACAGCTCTTCGTAACCATCTTCTCCATGGAGAAAAATAAGGTTTATTTTCACCAGTTATGGGATCTGGAATGTAATATTCTTCTTGAAAAGTTGGACGGCAACGTTCAACGCGAGAGTAATTACGTACTCCCCACCAGACGGATAACTCATATTCCTTTCGTCGCCAAAATTCTACGAATACTATGGACCATAGGGCAATTGAGACCCCATAGAAGATGGAATATTCAGATAAAGTCAACCAAGTAAATAAACCAACAATTGATGGCACAATGAGCCAAACGCAATAGTATTGAAGAAAAGCGAAGTAATATGCAATCTATAAAATAAAATAAAACTTATTAGCCTCACACATTGATTCTTGTGTAATAAATATGATTGAATACCTTTTCTCCAAAATGATTTCTTAATCTAAGCAGATCTTCTTTTTCGATTATCCACTTGGTTGACCAAGTCTTTATCCACTCCTATTAGGATGTGATAAATTAAAAGTCGCCAATTAATTAAAGAGAAAAAAAAATTTTTTACGTATGTTATTTTTATTCATAGACTTTAAACCTCATTGTATTCGTCATCTTGAAGAAGCAATATACTCTCAACCAATTCAAAATCGCCAAGTCCGGGATTAATACCAGCACCTTTTTCTTGTACGGGTTTTGTTATAATTTCATATACTAGACGTAATCGTTCAGAGTCTGGTAGAGGCTCGTCGTTTTCGACTTCATTATCATCTTGAATATCCTTTACACGAACACCTGCAAACCAGTCATTAATTCTACATTCATTGATATAATGACAAATTAGCTAATATAAAAAACGTCAAACTATTTATTTTCAAAATATACCTCGAGGTTTCGACCTCTCTCTTTAGCCTATGTAAATCACAGAGAACAAATATAAAAATTAATTTGTCAGAGCCTCTGCGGACTTCAGCTTGTAGACCAGCCTGTTCTAAACTATATATAACTTTTCTGCACGTTTCTTCAAGCTTCTTTTTATGTTCTTCCTTATCAGTACTCTTCGTTGGAATCGTTCGAAGGAGTATTATGTAGTCAGCAAAGATATCTTTATTTCCCTTTTGACGAATTTGGTGAAACAGTAATTTGTCCGTCCCTTGAGCCAAATTCGTTGAATTTACTTGTGAAACTGCGTCGGAATTTTTGGACATTATTAACGTTAAGTTGCAGAAAGCTTGAGGAAAAAAGTTGGGATTTTATAACGAATGATGTCAATATTGCATTATAATTTATGACATCATATAACCCATTTTTGGCGTAAGGTAGAGTGATCACAAATTTTTTTCGGTTTTCTTTTATTCATATCGAGGCCTTTAAATTAAACTTAAGACTATTTTTTGCCAATTCGATTAATATACCACTTACAATTTGAGCTTCTTTTATTTTTATACGCACCTTAACGTTAAGAAGGTTTGTCTTTTGAGTATATTTCATGTAACAAATATAATAAGCAGTATTTTAAACTTTTTATCTTTGCCAAATTTGGTATCAATTCATAGCACAAATAAGGCTAATCATCTATGTAAAATTGGCATAATTCATATGATTCACACACACTAACTGAAATTGATCAATTATTATTTATATTCAATTTACATATTATTATACGCTCACCAGGGGTAAAATTCATCAAGAGGGTAACAATCACCTCAGGTAAAATTCACTATCATATTACAGTCAACTCCCTATAAATGCACCATATAAGGACCCAGAAATATACATACAGAGGTAGGGTACACAGATATAGTGGAATTAGACAGAGTAAAGTTATGATTTGCGTACAATTTAAGAATTTTTCATCCATAGTTAGGTCATCAAAATTGCGTATTTTTTATTAAAATTTTATATGTAAAAAATTAGTTTGCGTATTTTTATATAATATATTTAATGTACGTTAACCACATTGTAATACATATTTAGTATTAATTGAAAGAAGTTTCTAAGGGTTAAAAAGTGAAATTTTAGTAAAATATTATTGAAAAATGGTAAATTATTTTTTTACATTAGTATTTGGTTTTATAAATAATATAGAAGTCATGATAAAATAATTTATTACTTAATGTCTGAAATTTTATTTGCGTATTTTTGCAGGATTTTTAATATCAGGTGTCAATTATGCGTACTACTTATATAAAAAAGTCTCTGCATACAGCTCATAGTAAAAAAATTTTTTGTTGCCTGACCCTTATATAATATTTCTGGATCCTACCATATACATAATTTTGTTAGAGAGGGGTGCATTTATAGAGAGTAAATAATTAGAGATCATATAAGTTTGGGTTCAAACCAGAGGATGCATTTAGGGAGAATGCATTTAGGAGAGTTGACTTATTAAATTTTAAATTTTTTCAGTTTTAAAAACTAAAAAAATCTAAAAATAAAAATTTTACAATTTTTAATACTTATATACAAGATAAATGGATAAAACCAGCTTAAAAATTAGTTTATAAATTATTGTAAATTAAGGTAAAATTTATCTTTAGTGAATTTTATCATAAAATATTGAAAAATTTAATGTATTATATGTAAATCAAAGTAAAATTTACCTTTGTTAAATTGTATTAAATTTTTATATTTTAGTAAATATTATATCAATTATTTAAAATTGCATATAATAACAATACTTGAAATTTAATATGATATGATAACATAAATTCCAAAGAATATATATTTAAAATTTTACACTTCTGATTTTCATATAACTATATTAATTAAAATAAAAGAAGGTTGGTAATATTTACATTACTTAAATAAAAATAGTGGATTCTTTATTTTATTAATGATTACTAAAAAATTATATATAACTTATTTTCATCAGGTGCTGGAACATGAAAATAAGAAGGATTTAGCAATAATGGTAATGATGAAAATAATGTATGTATGTTTTCATTATTATTTGGTTGGAATGAATCAGTATCTTCATTGAAATGATTAAAGCCACTATTATGTTAGGAAGAATCAAGATTAGAACTTGATGCCCTTTTTCACTTTTTTGTAAGGTTTACATCTTGAATAATAATTAATCTTTTTTGTTTTCTCGCTGTAATAGTATCTTCCTGATTTTTCCTAGTATCCTCTGAGTTCCACAAACTTTCATCATTTGTATGATTTTCTTGAGTGTGAAAATCAACCTCTGCGCCGTCATAACGAATACAGTGGCATGGATACAAATACCTTTTTCTGGGTTTTATTAAATCGGCCATTTTTGGTTTTTTTGATTTTATTGAATTGGCCATTTTAGATTTTATTAAATCAGATACAGAGGTAAAGATTTCAATTTTAGTTTTTTTGGATTTTATTAAATCAGACATGGAGGCAGAAGTTTCAATTTTACTTTTCCTGGGTTTTACTAAATCAGAAACAGAGGTTGAGGTTTCAATTTTACTTTTTTTGTGTTTTACTAAATCAGACACGGAGTTAAAGGTTTCAATTTTACTTTTTTTATTATTCATTTTGTATTTTATGAAATAGCTAAGAAAGTTAAGGTTACAATTACTTAAATTAATTACGCTTATTAAAAAATTTTCAAAAAAATTATCAATTCAATTTTTCCAAAATCAGGTTCTTCAATCACTTTTTTAGGATCAGGAACAAGTTTGCGTTCAATTCTTCAATTTCGTGTTCAACCTTTCTTTTAGGATCAGATACACGTTCAATTCTTCCTTAAGATTAAGATTAGTTTCGCGTTTAATTCCTATTTTAAAATCAGTTTCGCATTTTTGGTAAGATAAAATAAACAATTAATTATTTTTTTAGATCAGATTCGCGTGCAGTTCTTCAAAATCAAGTTCATATATTTTGCGTTACTCATTCGCGTAGTCAAATCTCAACAACTTTGAAATCTATAAATTTGCTCACAAATCTTTTTTCACAAATTCCTCTTCTCAATCAAAGCAATCAAAGTAGGCAATGATGGATAGTGATCAAGAATCTAGCTCCTCATCTTCCTCATCATCTTCTACCTATTCATCTTCGTCCTTGTCAGATAATACTATTTATTTGAATCAAAATATGTATCGAACAATTAAAGTAAGTATTTTTTTATTATCTGTTATTGAATTTTTCTAAATATTTACGTTTATTTATTATTTATAGAAAGAAGTCTTTATCTGTGTAGATTCTGAATTAAAGAATATATATGAGATCGATAGTGAACGTATGTGGCTTGAGCAGAAAGAAACTATTATTATAAAATTACTTCCACCGCTTTATAAGTTAGTCAACAAAAAGTATAATGTTTCAAATAGTAATATTTTAAAGATGTTACATGGCACGCTACCGTGTAAGCAATATAAAGAAGCAAGGAGACAACAAAGTAAAAATGGATAGGAGGAGATTAAAAAAGAATTCAAGAACTATGGACATTAGTAACCATTTTATTAATATGAAGTGGAAATTTAGTTAATTTTATTTAATTTTATAATTATTTATTATTATTAGAAAAAAAAAAGAAGAGCTCAAGCAGTCAACTATTTAATAGAAAATAATGATAAATACATTTGTAGATACCCAGAGAAGGAGCTTGTACGAATTCTTAAGGAATCTGGTTATCATTCAGAGGAGTGGGAGGAAACTGATTCTAATGAAGAAAATAATATAATTGGTGAAGAATCTGCTGTTAAAAAAAAGATAATGTCAATTCATATCACTAGTCGAAATAAGGCAAATCGGCTAAAAATCGGATATCTGATTTTAGGTCAAATTACGGCTGAAATATGTCTGATTTTTACAAAAAAATATATTCTGATTGTTATCCGATTGACTGCCAATCAGATGTACTTCGGAACTTAAATCGGACATAAATCAGAACTAAATCATACTAAATTCGGACAGTCAATCAGATGTACTTCGAAACTTAAATCAGACATAAATCAGAACTAAATCATACTAAATTCGGAAAATTATTATATATAAAAAATTCGATTTAAATTTATTATCGTTATATATTAATTATCAGAAATATTTACGAATAATACATGAAAAAAAAAATTTAAAATAAATGTAATCGATAGTCCCGCTTCATTCAGCTAAATCATCACCGGCTCCACCTTTTTGACTATCGATCTGTCTCTTATACACATCTAGATGTGTATAAGAGACAGGTATAATGCAGACCAAAAACCGTCCAATTAGTTTTGCAATATTTTATTTTTTGGGCGTTATTACTTGGCGACCCTTATTACGTGATTTAACAAAATTTTTGATTAGATAATTTTATGAAAAATTTTATTATTTTATCTTAAAAAAAAAGGAGTTTGCTATTTATCGCTGGCAGTGATCATTGCCGGCATCACGTGATTTTTTAATTTTGGCCAGAATTAAATGATCGACATAGAAATTGCCTTTTTGAAATCTTGTGTAACCCATTTTCTCAATTTTTATAAGAAACAAAATTGCTTTTTTGGATTGAGTAACGTTACTCAAGTTTCCAAAAAAGCTATTTTGGCCGGAATTATAAAATTTAGCTGAAATTATAGGATGTGACGAATAAGGGTGACAAATAGGATTTTTCATACTAAAAAAATTCTAAGTCCCTAGAATACATAGTAAAAACGGAAACAAGGAGGGTATGACGCGGGATGACAAATTATACATTATTAAAAATCACATGACACCAGCGATGATCGCCTCTGGCGATTCATAGCAATTTTAAAAATAAAATATGAATTTTTATTTAAATTTTTTATAACTAAGGCCATACAAGTTTAATTTTATAGTTTTCACAATATAAAAATTTTGTCAATAATCTGACAACCCGCCTCTAATTTTTTTTTCAAAAATTTTATGTGAATTTTTTTTTTAACAAACCGAAAAACCATTTTTACTAATTTATTTGATTTAATGATTAAACTTCTTAAATAAAAAAAAATAAAATAAATGAAAAAAGGAAAAGAAAAGAGAAAAAAAGAAACAAAAGGAAAGAAATAAAGAAAGAGAAAAAGAAAAAAAAACAAAGGAAAAAGAAAACAAAAAAATAAGAAAAAGCGAAAATGAAATATAAAGTAAACAAAATAGAACAGGAAATGAAGTACAAAATAGGATAGTAAATCACAAATGGAATAGAAAGTGAAAAACAAAATAGAGAAACAAAATGAAATGAACAAAATGGAACACAAAGTAAAGGACAAAATGAAACGTGAAGTAAAGAACGAAGTGAAACGTGAAGAGCAAAATGGAACGTGAAGTAAAGAACAAAATGAAGCATGAAATTAAGAACAAAATGGAACGTAAAGAACGTGAAGTAAAAAACATGAAATAAAGTACAAAATGGAACATGAAGAACGAAATGTAATAGGAAATAAAAGAGGGAAGAAAAGAAATAAAATGAAATAAAATGAATGGAATAAAGAAACAAAATAAGATAAAGAATAAAAGAAAGAAATAAGGTTAGTGTGGTGGAATAAGGAGTAAAAAACAAAAATCGACCAAACTCTAAAAACATACCTTTATTGTAGCATCAGAAAAACAAAACTCATTTCTCAGTTCTCAAAATCAAGAAAATAATAAAACATTAGTAAATGTTTCATTAAAAAATCAACAAAACTACTTTTTCGAATATTACCTTCCCAACCATAGCATCCAACTACCTGAAATCTAAAAAAAATATATTAGTAAAACGCTCATTAAAGAAATCTAAAAAAAGTTTGAATATTACCTTCCAAGCCCAGTGTTAAACTACCTGAACCCTAGAAAAAAAGAATAAGCGAAACATTAGTAAATACTTCCACAGGTCGAAATGCTAAAAATCGGCAAAAAAATGGCGTGAAAAGCAGTGGCTATTCTTGGCTATTCTTGGCTATTCTTAGCTATTCTTGGCTGTTTTTAGCTATTTGCGAATTAACCTATACTATTTGTAAATAGTTTATATAAATTCTGTCTCTTATACACATCTAGATGTGTATAAGAGACAGGCTGATAATATTGGAGCTGAAATCATATTGAAACTGATGATACTGAAGCTGATGACCTTGTACTTAATAAAATCTCCAGGATGCTTGAAATTATAAATCTTCCTAATTCAAAGGGAGCGAAAGAATTCTTAAATATTCCTGAAGAAAATATTGTATATAAAGTTCCTGAGAATATTACAGAATTTATAGAAATTTTTAAAAAACAATCTGAAGAAAATACTAATGATTTGAATGATTTGGATGAAATTGATGATACAGTCAAACTTCAATATACTGATGCTTTCGGTTTGGAAAAAAAGTATCAGTACATTGAAATATCAGTACATATATGTAATTAGTGAATTATAATGCAGGCCAAAATCTAACTCTGGCTTGCACTATACTTAATTCTAAATCCAAAATTTCCAAAATTTCTTGAATATATTATGTATAATATGAATATGATTATAGAAAAAAATCCAATTCTAGACATAATAAAAAATGATACTCAAATTTTAAAGTTACAATTTTTTAACTCAAGCCAAACTTATAGTGCCGGTTAGAATTAACACTAGTGTAATTAAAATTATCAGTACATCTTAATATACATTATTATAAAAAGACCCGAAGGTTGTATCAGTATACGTTACATCGTGAAATTATATATAATATCAGTACAATGAAGTTTTTTTATTAATGATGAAATGGAATAACAAAAATTTATCAGTAAAAGTAATTATTGGTATATAAAGTATTAGTATATCAAAGTTTGACTGTAGTATTGACTACTGATGTAGTAACTGTTGGTACTAACCCAGAAATTACATATATAACTCACATTTGAGTTTTAGCAAATTCAATCAAAATTAGGTTAAACTCATAATTTTAGATAAAGCAAATTGATTGAAAATTAATTAATAGTCATAATTATGAGTTTTAGCAAATTGTGTTGATTTTACAAAGTCATATTT